CATAGTTGCAGCCTCACATCTCAAAAGCTATCAAAATAACTTTAAACAAAGAGTTTCATTCCACAGGTACGATTTGGCTATTTCATCCCTGAGTGTCTTTAAAAATCTTAGCTTTATTTCCCTTCATTTTGTTTTGTCCACCTCAAACCACCACCACCACCTCAAACTGGCAAACCATGACTTCATATGAGCTCCACCACAAAAAAAATTAATGTGTGAGAACCTACAAAAGTTCTTCCATAGCATGAGCAGAGTTAAAGTGTTCTGACCGTCTTGTTCCTAAAGCTTCTTGTAAGTGCTTCTGTTTTCCTTGATTATCTTTCAGCATTATAGATGGTCTCCCAGACTTCCCTCTGCTCTGCTGTAGAAAGCGAATTTCTTAATTCTAGTTTCTTCCAATTATTTTAATTGAGAAATCTCTTAAGTATCTTGGAATTTATTTGAATAATGTTTCTCTGGGTTTGTTGTTTGGGGTTTTTTTCTTTTTAAATTTTTATTTAGTCTTACATTTAGTCCTCACACTTTCTTTAAAAATCTTCAACTATCTGAAGGACATCTTGCCCTCAATAGCCTCTGATAACCTGCTTATTAGCCATGTGGTTTCCCTTTTACTCTTTCTCAAGCCTTTCTAGCTAAGCAGAATGTACTTACTCTCTTCCTTCAAAAATACCTTAAATAGTCTTTATGCCATCTGCCATGACTTTACCCTATTCCTTCCAGATTCTCCCGAACAGGAGTCCTTGTTTATAATTGTCTTTTCTGAAGTTCAGCCCAACTGTGGGGACATTTCATGGCTTCCTTGCAGATCTGCAAGGATATTGAATCTAGAGAGAGAAGTATTTTGAAAAACATCCATTTGTTTCCCTTCTCATGGCATCTTCAACAGTCCAGTCCATGAAAATCATTGATTTAGTCTCAGTAGTCCTCTAAGATTCCTTCCAAGATCCAGTCTGAGTAACAGCCTCCTCCCTAGCAGGAAGCTCCCGGGTAGAGTGGTGACTGTCCTTCCCCCACCCCTCCTTAGACAATAGCTTACCACTATCTTGTGGTCAGCTTTTATTAACAACATCACTGCCTTGCTATGTACCCAGCACATCACTGATCAGAGGGGTAAAAAAACCCACCTGTCCCTTGGGGATATTCTCAACATGTGACACTTGGGGCAGGTCTGTCAGGAGAGGGACACTTCTATATCACCCGGTGATCACCAGGTTTTCATAATCTTTGTCTTCCACTCTGCAAAAGAGCTATTTTAACATATCCCAATTTTTCTCATGAATGATGGTGATCCTTGTCTTTTAAGTATTTCAAGAGCTGAAATTCTGTCTTGTAGACAAGTCTAGAACTGTCAGCATTTTGTTTTGCACACCTCATCCTTTCAAGCCTATTGGCTGCTCCATGTGGTTTTTCAGATGCCAGCTAATGAAACAATGCACTATTACTCCAGAACTATTTCTGTAGGCCTTTCTTATATGCATGACACATAAACCCACAAAAGGACCCAAGAGTTGCTGAGAAGTCATCTTAGGTGAAAAAGTTCTGCTGGTCTTGTCAATATGCTTGGATGAACATAACAGAAATACCACAATTTTTTTGGTGTTCAATAGATAATGTAATTACCTCCTCTGGTTTTAAACTATGAAATTTCAGTGATAATTATTTGCCAGCAATTTCTGAAATTGTGTTGAAATGCTATCTGATGGGAGTATCTGCACAATATACAGACATTATCTCAATTTATATCCAATATTGAATACTTATCTAAGGATTTAATTTAAATCTATGAAAATCAAGCAATCTGAATTTCTCCCAGTGACACTGCTAGTAAAATAAGACATGATATATAACACTGTATGAGTGTGCACACACACTGAAATTTACTTTCCAGCATGAAGTCCCAGTTAAGCAGAGGTGCAAATAACAGCATGTGATTAATGAGACCTGTGGTTTGCAGTGTTATCTTCCAATTACATTTGTCACTTAAATTAGGCCTACATGTTGGTATCTGTTCATCATTTTTGCATCGCACAAATTACATAAAACCACTCTTGGGACAAAGTCATTATTTTTCATATCTCATGTATTTTTCTGAAGAAAACTGAGCATTGTTTTAGGTGGGTTTTGTGCAATAAAAATTTTACACACAATCTGATCTAGAACTCAGCATAGCAGAAAAGTATTTGCAAGTAGTAACAAATTATTCCACTGGATTTTTAGTGGGCTATTTTCAAATACAGATGAATGCATTTTGTTCACAAAAATAAGAGCTTTTTCAAGTGTTATTATTAGGCAATGATGGAAGTGTTCAAATTATTATTCTGAAATTTTCTTATTGTTTCAATAATGTTGTCCCCTTCTTAAACAACTGAATACTTGTCTCAAAGAAGAAGCTCTCCAATTTTAAAATACTGATTATTCAAAAAAGGAGGAAAACCAAGCCCATGCCAGTTGTGTGTCCAAATAACTTATTCTAATGACACAGGAATGACATTACAGTAAGAACACTATAAGCCAAAAGCTGAATTGTGTGTGAACAAAACACAGACATCATTCTTTAACAAATACAAAGGTTTCATTTATCCATTGCACCAAAGGAAATTGACCACTAACTTTCATAAAAATAGTCAAATCATAAGATTATCCCAATTTTTGCCAAATGAGGGAGCCTAACATAAACTTACTTAATTTTCTGATTTCCTGACAAACTTCAAAAGCTGTTTATGGCTTCAGAGTCACAAGCAAAGACAGAGGTCAGGTCTTTCACCAAAAAATACAGTAACATGAGCATCTTTTGCAGTAACAGGACTTGTGGCACTTACTTCAGCAGAGCTGGCATTTCATTCATGAGCAGGTAAGGGTGCCATGCGTGCACACGCACACACAAACATACACGCATAACACTTGTTAGCACATTAGAGCAGAACAACACATTTTTAAGACATCTGCCCTTCACAAAGTTAACCCACAGATTTTTTGAAAATTATTTCTGTTGTTGAAAGGTATTTTTTCTGTTAGTGAGCATTTAAATGCTTTCATAAAGCAATGAACTGAAAAAAAAGCTATTCAGCTTTAAAAATCAGATACATAAAAATGGACTTAAGACAAATTATTTAAGTGAACTGGGAACCAAATGCATTACTTTTCTCTTTGAATTACACATAGGCTAATGGAATAAGAAAAAAAAGGAAAAAAAATATTCAAAACAGCTCTAGCATTAAAATGTTCAGTAACTCTACAACAAAACACTGCATTAGTTTGATAACAATGACTGTTCTTAACTGCAAACTGTAGATTGTTCTAAGAAACAATCTTTTATTCTGTAGCTTTTCAAATTATGAGCAAATAGTATCAAATTCATGGTCCTATCAGTATGCCAAAACAAACAAAACACCAAACAAAAACCTTAGCACACACACACCCCAGAAAAATCCAACCCCCAGATGATTAAATCAGTTTTTGAGTAAAATGAGACAGCTGGCAAAAGGTCTTTGTATAATTTGGGAAACCACCATTATTTGACTACATTCATTTCATTCTTAAACATCCAAATTTTCACTTAGTAAAATTCATTGATAATAAAAACCCTATCCCATTATATATTTAATTTCTTCCTGTGGATATTAAAATAAACTATGTTCTGAAATTAAGAGTTAAAATACCTCCTTTTGTTTTCCATACATATTTGCCTATATAAATATACTTCATCATTTTACAAATTACAGTATTTATATTAAAGCTTTCATTCAGCAAATCATTACAGCTTAACAAGAACAAACAATCCCTGTGTTTTGGTTCTGTCTTTAAATCACTTTTGGAGATAATGAAAACCAGCCAAAATGAGTGACTGCAAATAATACAAACAACACATTTATTTAGAAAAATAAACTGAAAATGTTGCTTGTCTGTTAGATTTCTCCATGAAGTATAGACAAATGGCTAGAAAAATTTTATGTCAAGTACATATTACAAATGACTTCTTTAGCAGTAACTGGGACTAAATGTCAATGTTCAACAGGAACATTTTTTGATGTATAATTCAATAGATTAAATTTCTCGGCTGCTAATATGATAAAAAAAATGGATGCTATTAAAAAAGCTTATATCCCCTTTTTAAATACACCTTATCATGTTGCTGCTTTTTCATATATATACATATGTATATATGTATGTATATGCACGTATTTATTTCATCCTAAGAAAGGACTATAATCCTTTCTGTGAAGAGATCCCCATAGTGAAAGAGAGCATAAATGTCTTTCTTCAGTTCTAACTTTTTAATTCCATTTGGAGCTCTGGCAAAGTATAGCTTGTTGTGGTCAAAAATCTCCTGGGGCCATCTGTGCAAATGGTGGCACACATCATTACCCTGAATGGAAGTGACAGTACAAATAACAGAAGTGCATCGAGATGCAATCTCTAAGAGTGGAACTTCCTCAAAGTTGGGTGGAGGACAGGAGACAGAATCCTTTTAAGTGACTTAATTTCACTTATGCCCTGCTCCTGTATGGCTTTGAATATATACAAGGGACGACAGAGGTCTTCTTCCCCACAGACAGTAACATTTCTCTGTTACAATAAATGTATCCATTTTCTGAAATTAATAAGTGCTTCCTTTTTCCTTTTGGCTACATATTGAAATATTTGTTGATGCTGGCTGTACCCATAAAAAACTTCTTGTTTGGTACTCTGGTTGCTCAGCACAGAACTCAGGTGTCAGGCTTGGCGACAGCAGTTTCTGCAACGGGGCAAAACATTGAGTTCTCTTATCCTTCTTTCCCACTGAATCGAATTTAAGGCTGTGGCTGCTGCCAGGACTCAGCTTGTAGCTGTCAGATCTGAGAAAGATGATTCAATGCAGATTACACTAGTGCTCAGTTGTGCTCTGACTTCAAGGGTTCTTCCATTCTCCACTAAGAGTCAGGTTTCCTGGTTACTTCTCAGATCTGGCCTGCAAGAAGTCACAATGATGAATCTGATATGCAAATTAATTGATGTGCCTCCAAATATAGATATTCCTTCAAGCCTGAAGGTGCTGTTAAAAAGAAAAGAAGGGCAAAGTTATAAAAAAATCTTACTTTAAAAAGACAAGTTAATAAACAAAATATAATTTTTAATTATCATTTCAGTTTTCATGTAAGCAGGAGTTCAAAAAATAATGGTATTTTGAAATGATCTTTTATAGTTGCACTTTATTATATATATAAGCCTTTTTTCTGGGGTAAATAGATTTGACTTTAGTGGTGTCTTTGAAATCACATTATTTACATCCCCTGTGAAATCTGGACTCTAATACTTCTTCATAAATTAAATAGAAAATGAACTCAGCAGAAGCTCCCCATCTGACAAGTTAATTTTCTAGTCACTAAAATATTATATATAATTCTGATTTGGGTCTTTAATATTAATTTTTGTGAAACTGTTTTAATTTTTATAAAACACTAATAATGCCGCAATCTAATGCTGAGGTTCACTGACTTACTGAGTTTTCCTAGCTTTATTTATTAGGAAAGATAATGCAGCAGTATCCAAAAAAGACACTTTAGAAATACTTACTTGTTGGTAGCTAGGACACTAATTTAGGTTAAATTCACACCTCCTGAGGAAAAGAATAACAACTTCCTCATGCACTTTTGGTGACTTACACCTGAAGGTACAAACTTCAATGAGGAGGAAGACCACTTCTTTGCCATTAACTTTGTGAATCTAGCCCCCTCATTCACATTTCCTCATATTTCTTACTTGAACCACTTAAATTGATAAAGATTTTCATGGGGTAGGACAGAATTTTACTGTCAGACAAAAAAAAGAAGGAATCTGAATTCAGTGTAATGTAAATTCCTTTTGGTTTTTCCCCCAGCACTAAATGAAAAGATAAAATATTTAGTGAAATTTATTTAACACTCAGAATTGTTACAGTGGCCCATTAGCCTAGCAAACATGGTAGATTTGTGATACCACTAGCTTAGCAGGAAGTTGTTTTCCTAGTCAAGTATTCAGGGTTTGACTCACATTGTTAATGAAAAAGAAGAGTCTTCTAAACATCTGTTAGCAGCTTACTTTTAAACTGAAGTCAGCCTTCATATCACTAAAAACACACAACACTTTCTCAGCTGTCACAGTTTCAGGCTTCAATTACATTTGGGCTAATGATTCCTGTACGTTATTATCTCATTAGAATCACCAAAAAAGACAATATTATCCTTAAATGCAGCTTAATTCTCAGGAACAAGATTAATATGGTACAACTAACGTACATTTAAAATAATGACAATAATACTCACAAAAGAGATAATGCAAATAGTATTTGTTGTCAGAAAACAACTTCAATTCGGAATACAGTAAAATACAATGCTAAGCACAGTAGACGCGAAGAGCAATATGATCTTTTCCTCTGAGTACTAATTCATAAAAATAGACAATATCATGCTGTTATAGTTTAATCCCAGTCAGCAATTAAGAAATATGTGGTTGCTCAATCACTCCCTACCACACAGTGGGCTGGGGAGAACTGAGGAAAAAATTGATAAGCCCAAATAAAATTAAAATATTGTAATAATAATGATAACAAAACCAACTGTAACAAAAGTGACACTTAAAAAAAAAAAAAAAGAGATAAACCTCAAGAAAGAAAAGGGATAGATAATTCAATATAGCTCACCAGCTGCTGACTGATATCCAGCCTGTCCTCAAACTGTATGATCAGCTCCCACCCAACTCCCCCAGTTTATTGGACATGAGTTTATGCTATGGAATGTGCCTTTAGCCAGTTTGGGCTGCCTCTCCTGATTTTGCTCCCTCATGGTTTCTTACGCGCTTCCTCACTGGCAAAGCAGAGGAAGCTGATTTAGGGTACACACTACCTAGCAACAACAGAAACACCAGTGTATTAATCATCATTATTTTTATTCTAAACCCAAAACACTATTAAGAAGAAAATTAATTAACTCTATCCCAACCGAACCTAGGATGACTGCTTACAAAACCAGGAAGTGGTTTACGAAGTATACTTGAATTTCTCCATCATTTCTGTCATAGACTTGTCAACCCACACAATTCAATTCATTCCATACAACCATGTGACATCCACCCTCATTTCATCAACATTCTACCAAGGAAGAAAAGACTGCCTTCTTTTCTTTATACTAACTGTGCTAAAAAGTAAAAACTATGAAAATATTTTGCACCTTTCCATATTAATAAAGAACATGTTTAAACTAAAAATTATGGTTAAACTTGCTCAGCAGAAAATTCATTAGGTAACAATACCTGCATCAAAAAACCAGCTGTTCCTCTTGCTACCTCCCCCAAAAATCTATATTTGCAAACCATTATTGTACACATGAAGAAGTGAGCAGCAAGAGAAAAAAGGCCACTCACTAAAAAAAACCACCTGCTTACCAATTACAGGCTCCTATCCTGAACTGTCTAGCTTTTAATCCTATAGTCTGTACTGTTTTTGATAGAAAGGCTGTACATTCAGATATGTATATTTAATTCATCATTACAAAATAATTTTGTTACAGCATGCCTTATCAATAAACTCATAATAAAACTCTGACCCTATTAAAGTCATTATTAGAGAGCTAGGGCTCAGACAATTTACAGGAAACCATTTTGTTCACTCATGTCCCTTCTCCTTTTCAGTACTTGGGCAGCATCACCATGTCATCCTCTTCCTTCTACAGCATCATTATTAAGTCCCAAAAGCTAGAGAATCAAAGAAACCAATGTTGCTCTTCTCCCTATTTCGAAACCAGATAACCACTCTTCTGTACTAAAAAATAAATTTTACTTTGCTGCATGTATTACCTGAAAACCATCTACGTCCTTCTGCTTTGTTAGAGTCTTAAAAAACTGAGAGTCTAGTCCCATCAACAAGGAATCCTCCTCCTCATCATGGCTATGACCATACTGACTCCAGACAAATTGCTACGCAGAATCCTGTGGATGGAAAATGTTAAGGGACAAGGCCACTACGGGAAGCCTCCTTTCAGCCTCAGACCCATGAAACGGCTGCCCCATTCTCAGATGCAGAGAAACAACTGCATTTATTGGTCTTTAAATAAAGTCTTTAAATAAAGACCAATAAATCCAGTGACATGATTGGAAGACATCAAGAAAATTATAGAGAAGACATCACCAACTTTGAAGTGATATGTGCAGTGAGGATGTCAATAATCAAGAAAGGAATACTTTTAGTGATGGTTTCTATACTGGCCCTCGTGCCCTTTATCAAGAAAAAAGGAGAAAACAAAACAACTACAAAATGTACTTCACATTCAATTGAGAAAGGGAGATTTACTTGATTCTTACTAAGCCATGTAATTTCTGGATCATTTTAAGTCTGATAGAAGCACCTGAAAGACCAGACGAAAAAAAAGCTTTGTTATTTGGGCTAATTTAGCCCAGACAGGATAATTTGGACATATGTTATTACCTGTCTTAAGTACACTGCAAGTCAGAGCACATGCCCCATTATTAGTTCTACTCACATATTTAGGAGTACAACAAAAGTCCTTACGTTTTGAAAAAAATCACAAAACATCATATAGTAATAAATCTTCCTAAACATAGTGCAGATATCTTCTAGGTATTGTTTAAATACTAATGGCATCTGTTAAGTTGTTGTAGTGGTTTTGGTTGGCCCATTTGAGATTTCCGGCCCAATACACCAATTCATTGGTGGGTCTAGTCACCAATGAATTGGTGTATTGTATCTACACCAATGAATTGGTGTATCTAGTCACTGGCATTTAGCCAGTGCACCCACTAGAATATACTTACTAATTTCCTGCTGTGACATAGGATTAAGAGGAAGGAAAAGCAGGCTCAAAACTTTAAAAGGGTATAAAGAAAAGTTTATTAGCAGAACTAAAAGAATAGTAAGAATCAGAATAAAACCATCAGAAAACTTCTCCTCCCCCTAAAACATTTTCTTTCCCACTACCAATGTACAGAAACAATTCAGTCATTTTATCATCTCTAGAATATCTTTCTTCAATTCACTAAGGGAGACAAGTCCCTCTTGTCATTTCATGGAGACTTCTCCACAAGAAAACAGTTGGTTCATGGCTTTTAAACTCCATGAATAGCAGCTGCCCAGGAATCTGCAATCGTGAAGTCCCTCCCATCTTTTCATAACCTTCCCACAGCTGGGGGGCCCATTTATGGGCCATGTCAACTTATGGTGTACTATTTTAAGGATGAGCTGTTCAAGAGCAAAGATTCACTTTATCTATCTCTAAGATCATCTTCATCTCTGGGAACAGTGGTCTTCGTCTTTCCCTGGGGGCAAAGAGTCTTCTCTCTCTCAGTTCAAACTCTCTCGGTTCAAACTTCTCATGCGATCACAGCTATTTCAATATCTGCTTGTTTTAGCATAGGATGCCTTTGCTATAATTTGAACACTTCATCCCCCATACTTTTCAATGAGTTACTGGGAAAATGAGTCTGATGTATTAATTATATTCTTCTCCATAGCTTTACAAGAGGTTTTCAGCTCAAAACTAAAGGCATCTCCTCATTCTCCTTCCCATCTGAAATTTGATTTCTTCTTTACTGACTTCAGTGTCTAATGTGGCCTTCTATGTGTCTTTACTATCTTTCCTTTCTTTCACTCAAGAAAGGGTCAATGCTTTGCAAGTTTCATCTATCTGTGCAGTGAAAGAGTTAAATCTCGCCCAGGTCATCGTGTGATCCCTGCCGGGCTGGGCCGGAGCACTTACAGTGATGTATTTCAGCCTGCACCAGGGGCGGGGGCTGTGTCAGGGTCAGTCAAAGACCATGATCAAAGTCCGTGGCTGGCTTTGGTTTTTGCTGCGTTCAATTCCAGCCACAGGGCCGCTCTCTGTGCAGGCTGCAGGGCCGCCTCTGGCCTCAGCCGCAGGATCTCGTGAGGCGGCTGCGCTGGGAAAGGGGACCTGGTGACACGATGTTACCGGCCATGGCCCAGCCCTGCCTCGGCCAGCGCCCACAGCCTCCCCTCTCTCTGCCTGGCAGCTGCTGAGGCCCAGCCTGCCCAGGACAGGGCTC